AGACATAACAAGAGATGGTTTGCGCAAAAAAACTCAGAGAGCTGAGAAGATCTACAAGCTTCTCGAAAAAATAGGATTGGATAAAATCCAGTATATCAAGTCGTATAGTGCGAATGAAATATCAAAGTTTACTAATGATGAAATCCAAAAGATTATGGATCATTTCTCAAATAAGCCCAGTACGGATTTCAGTGAGGATCAGGACAATTTTATTAACGATGATTCTTCCAGTCAAACTGATACGTCAGAGGTGCGAGCGAATCCCTTGGTTTCAGCGGAGGGGTCCCAAAGGGACCAGGTAAGCGAATCAATAGCACCTATCCCATTAGCCCATATCTCTAATTCTTCTGATGATTCCAAAGAAGTTAGCCCAAGCAATTCGCTCGAAGATGTGGACGATTACTACAAAATGATCTTGGAAGAATATGCGAAGGATTGTGAGTATTTTGATAAGGAAATTGATTCCACACCCCAGTCGGTGAAAGAAACGAATGAAGAGGTTGCTTCGCAATCAGGAGGGAAATCGAACGAAATTAAGTCGGACAATGACTCTGATTCTAGCAATTCTGAAGAAGAGATGCCAGATGAATCAGACAATGATGATGGATATGGTGGATATGGTGGTTATGGTGGATATAATGAATATGGTGAACGCGATAGTGGTTATTATTATCATGACGGAAGATATGAAAGAAAAACCTCACTAATGATGAGTCCTATTATCTCTCCGGTAACCGCCTAGGAGAATTATCAAGCGAAAACACATACTCGCATAGACTAAATTATCGTATCTTTTTTTCGAATCATGTGGGTGGCTTAGACCGATCACCTGCTAAGGCAAATGCGCAGAAGATGGTAAAAGACTGGAATCATCGTATAGGTTTATATCTTTTTTTCGACTCACGTGGGTGGCTTAGATATCGTGCACAATAAAACGTCAGAATATCTTATGCGCAGTAATACGTCACCGGTATCCGCAGTCGTTATTTTAGAGGATCTATTAATAACCCTGAACAATATTTTGTGTTGACATACTTATGAACTTTCCCCAGCGCCAAGCCGAAAGAAGTTTCTGGTATGTTCTATCTCACTCATTACGCAGTTCTGAATTATGCGAAATCGTATATTTCTTTTTTCGAATTACGTGGGTGGCTTAGATATCATGCACAGTAAGACGTCATTGTCCGCAGAATATGCTATGCGCAGTAAACGTCATCATATAATTAGCGGTAGATCCCGCTTCTATTGGTTGGAAGTGTGAAGAGTCTTCACGATTATCACATGACATAGCGTGTATCATGGAACTTTGCCTCAAGCTAGAATAGAGAAATATCGTTCGAAAAAATAATCGTGTATGATAGTAGAATGGCATCATATACCTAGGGCTAGTCCCACATTGTGTAATTTATTTTTAGCGGTCCTTTAGGAGGCTCAATGTATTGCAAATAAAAACGCTTAGGGTACTAAGTGACCCGAGCAATGTAATCAAATATTTTCTTGCTCTTTCAGAGCCGGTGACTGGTGTGATCCTCTGGAATCTACATACTAATTTTTTATTGCTCGAGCTAATGCATATTAATACAGGGTAATTTAGGAAATCTGGATCGGCAAATTATTGGATAATATGATTTCCAGCGAAGATCCAGGGACTTTCATGTTTTGCGATGATCCTAGCGATCAACTGCGGAAAGGGTCTGGGAGCTCTTAATTATAAAAATGCTGGTGAATTGGAGGCGTCGTTTCCAAAGGAAACAAGAAAATCAATATCAAATAAAAAAGTCGCGATCTTAATTTCGATCAATTTTCAATCTAATAAAATGATTCCCCTTACAGACGTCTCCCTATTTGCACTCTTCTGCGCCGTAGTAATAATCTACGAGATGATATCCTGGGGAGTTATAACCATTGAGAATCTCCAAGCTATTTTTTCGGGAAACTTATTCATATATTTAATTTTTGCTGGAGCATTTATCTATTTTCGCAAAAATCAGACCGGAAGAAATAATGATATAGAAAAATCGATCCTGGCCATAAATAACGAACTTCGGAGAATGCGTACTGAGAACGAATGGAGGAATGATGCCGTTTCGCAAGGTAAGATCCTATGTGTTTGATTCTCCAGGACTCATCCATTTTGCGATCCATTAACCATGATCTGCATCTTATTTTACCTAGCCGGCTCCAACAGATTTTCTTCCACAAGCCGTGTATCTCAATATTCTGAATATACGGATGAAATACAAATGTACTGGGTCGAGTTCACGACTATATTTGATGAAAGAAGAAAAAGGGAGAAACGCTCTCCTACACAGATGTACAATATATTATCTCAAGAAATCGGCCTTAGTCCTGCAATATTGGCTAGCTTCTATCGACACCAAAAGATTCCAAGAACCACATCAATGGATAAAATCATTCCTTGGATCGAAAGGGAGGGAAAAAGGAGAGTTAGTTTTACGGAAAATAATAGTAGTAGCAGTAGTACTAGTAGCATAATTCGCAATAATGATAGTGAATAGTGAGCGAGGAAAGGAACTGCCATTATGTGGGTTGGGGCTCGGCAGGCGTTTTTACGCTTTATTCCTCCCTCTTAGTTCTCGCCCACTTCACTATTTATTTTACATTTTCTTTCATGTAATTCGTTTTAAAAAAAAATACTGACCTCGTGTCGGTTGGACTTTCTCATGTTACCAATATAATAAAGAGTTTGTTTCGAAGTTTTACAAACTTACATATTTATCCAATATTAACAGTGGCTTAGCTATCCTGATCGGCCGATCATCTCGTGATTTATGGAAACTCGCCAGTTCCTGGAACACTCCTAGAACTATCGAGGAACTGGTAGGGAACTAGGGAGATCACATGTGATACGATATACAGTACATCATGCCACAAACTGATTTAGCCGAAAGCGCTGTGCATATGCATGTAAATATAAAATTAGCTTAGCCCGATATATGACCCTATATAATCCCGACATGCTTATAATCTAATAAAAATGAATCTGAGTTTAGCAATATGTAGTCTCACTAAATTGGCTACGAATAAATAAAACTGCTATAATTCATTAAAACTGCTTAACCAGCAAATTCGTATAAATTTGAATCTGATATTTATTAGAGTATAATATTGCTAAATCAGCTAAAATCGCTAAAACATTATAAAATCGTTATAATCTGTTATAATCTACTAAAACACTATTATGGATTTAGATAGTAGTGCCTATTATAAGCTTAATTCAGTTAGACTTAGTAATGTAAACTTTAAAGAATATCAAAGAATATTTGGAGATTTATGTCTTTTACGTAATCGATATGATTATGAAACACCAGAAATGTGGTGCTCTCGCATTCGTGTTCCATTTAGAAAAATACTAGAAGAGAATCCAAGAATCTTTTCTAAGAATGGATACATTACAATGATTGGAAAACATATTGAAAGCAGTGATAGAGTCTATGGTCTTGAATCCAATTATATATATTGCAGTGTATGTGACTCCTTAGTTTTCATATCTAAAACTCCTTATTTAGAAACTTGCTATCGAGATAACCATCTTAAGAGATGTATTAATGGAGATATTATTTCAAATGAACATGCAAGAAGAAAAGAAATTCTCCAATCTATTGATGAAAGAGAATCTACTATTTGGGTATACAAACAATATATATTATAAGAAGAGGCTAAACTTAATCGTCTCTGTCTAAAGCTTTTTTCTCCATCTACCTTACATTCAGAAAAGGATAAATTGGCATCAATATTATATGATTATGATGCTCATTCA